TAAATCTCTCACCCTTGAAAATTAAGGAACTGCAGAGGCAGCAAATCTCTGAGTGAAGTTGATGCAGTGGGTTATACAAGCCAGTAATTTATGTTAGGGCTTCACAAAATGTTAGACACTAGGAAAGGAACCAAAATAAGTCAAATTACATCAATAAAAAGGTATGACTAGCTTGGGCTGGGATGCTATTTCTTGCTATAAACAGCAATGGCTAGAATTCAGATGACTAACTAAGCACTGCAATAATGAAAACACAGCATGTTATAATAGCTGCTGCTAGATCCACAGCCTTGGGGTTCAATGAAATAATGCCTGTTGCCACATATACACGATCTCGCGGGTTTTTGTTTTATTGGAAAAAATAAGTTCAGATCATTCTAAACTTGCAATTTGTCTGCCAAGGCTTTATATTAAGTCTGTTATGGTTATGATAAAATATAATCTTTCATATTAAATTACTTACAACCTTGGTAAAATATTACTTTATATTAACTGACTCTTGGGACACTAATTTTATGAAACATACACGTGAGTTTTAGAAAGTATGAAAGCAAACTAAATATTCCTAGTCTACTACATCATGTTAACAAGCCATCAAAGATCTAGAAATACACAGGAAAAAAGTACACCAAATCTCCTTCTAATTAGTTTCAAACCTAAAACGATAGTTGCAATTAAAAACAAAATACAGTCAATACTTTAAATCCTTAAACATACAGGGAATAGATCTGATTAGTTCCCTGGATTCATGTCTCCCTGCCCAAAGTTAATCCATGGAAGAATGTTACCAAACAAAGTAAAAAATTGTGGGAAATAACACCCACTTTAGGACAGCGGTCAACAGATTTACAGATGTGCAATGACACGTATTTCTGGAATGCATGGTGAAAAGAACTAAAGAAAGATTCTAGCTCATGGAATAGGCTAGAGCATCCATCCATAGCTGAAAAATTAGTCTCATATAGTTTCATCAACAGGCCTAACTTTTAAATAACAAATACGCAACTAGGAAGTAAGTCACTTTTGTATTACTTAAGTTAAATTACTTTCCTCTTAATTAGGCACCTATCTGCTTACTGAGGGAATAGGACTTTGAATACTATGAAACTACGAGGGAAAGTGGACTTTGGTAGGCTATCACAGCTTGGGGTCTCAAGGTTGGAACAGAGCAGCATCAGAGCTCTGAGCACCAGCAGGCACATGGTGTCTGGCATGTAGCAGGAAGAGCTCAATAAATACAGGATGATAAATGAGTTAGGAAAAGGACACATAGAAAAGGACCCATAAATATGATAACAACAAACCTGCATATTTTTATATCTGATCACAGGCCCTGATCCTGACAAATGCTCAAGGTGCCATTGGCTGTCACTGACATTGGTACCATGAATTGCCAATGTCTGGCTTAAAGTGGTTTTTCCTGTAGTAGACAAACAAAAGTACATATGATAAAGTCCTATACATAGTGAACAAGAAAATCTGATTTTTAAAAGGATATTATATTCTGCTTTTTATATTTGCCTAAACCCCAATGCTACTCAAAGTGCTAGTTTGTAACAAATAAGGAGTTGTGCCAGAACATAAATAAATGCACTGCTTCCTTCGTCGAGAATATCTTAATACCAAAAAAAAAAAAGGCATCTTAACCAAACAGTAAGTAAGTTTGCTGACATAACTGATTAACATTTGGTACAAGTTTCTTATCTTGCTGCAGACCAGTAACAAGCAGCTCTGTGGACTGCAGGTTGCCTGCCGGACTGTGGCCTACACTTTGAGCAGCACGGTTTATACCCTGATGATGTTTTTCTAAGGAAAATAAATGAGCTTTTCTAAAAATAATCACAAGCTAGTAGAAGGGGGGCAGAAAGGGAACTAACACTTAATTATGTTCCAAGATTTTTACACATTTTATTTAACTGCACAATAACCCTCTATTGACAGTATTATCATTCTGAACTGAGAGGTTCAGAAAGGTGCTATGTTTATCTAAAGTCACACAACTAGTATGGAAGCCATGAAATGTGTCCCTTAGATCTCCTGGTGTGGGGAGTACAGTTGACTGATGGCCCCAGCTGCTGCTCCTCTGGATCCCTACTACATTCATGAAAACTTACTGAGGGCTGTTCCCAGCCAATGACTGAGCACAGCAGTGGTGCTAAGGTAGGTCCATTTAGGCGAGACAGGATACTCCTCCGATGGGCAACTTTGGCTTGAGAACTCTCCATCAACCTATATGAATCTTTCTTGGAGCTGAGTTGCAGTCTAAGACTCCTCCTACCCAGTCTTCTTTCTTTCTCTTTCTCCTACATGTGTCATATTTGCACTGCAGTCTGAATGCTCTACCCACCTCCTCTCTCATCTTCTCCCAATAAATCTCTTGTTATCTAATCCTATCTTGGAGTTTGTTTCTCAGTGAACCCAAACTAATGCAGCTAGTAAATGCGGGTGCTGGTATTGAACCATGTGGTTATTTGGGGGTAGAGAATACTACTACATAATTAACTATAGAGAGTCAGAGACACTGTGTTTTACTCACAATAGGGAAGTCTGACACAGACAGAAAACTAAAAAGGCTGCCGCTGTCTAACTTCCTCTTTCTGCGCCTAGGATAACATAGTGGGAGAAGGGATCAAAGATGGTGGTAGAGAAACTAATAGAAGTGTGTGTGCTAGATTTGCAAAATTGCTGTTTTCCCGGTATTATTAGCTTTGTATCGCCAGTTCTGAAAAAGCAGAAACAACAGTAAAGCCTCAAAGCAAAACAAAAAGGTACCACACTACCATGTTGCTGCCAAAGTCACTGAAGGCAGTAATTTATGGATTCCTCAAATGGTAAATCAGATTGGCAATCTTGTCAAACGTCTCAAATGAATACGATAATGAACGAAACTGAAAAGATATTTACTGAACATCTATTCTGGTTAAGGCAATGTTTTGTGGATGGATTCATCAGTATAATTACTTTTATACACATGTGGACAATTTAAGTTCATATGGTGCAACTTCTTTTGTACTCTTCCAGAGTTTAATATAGTACATTCAATTAATACTTTTTGGCTGCTATATTCAAAAGGTACACAAAGCTCTGTATATATTCTTAGTTTCAGATTAAAATTAGAAAACCAAGATCACGTATCAAGTACAGGAAGACAAGGATAATACATTTTGCTTAGAGAAGGAAATTATATAAAGATATTGATTTTTAAATAAAGGAGATTAAATATATTTTAATGACAATGTTTAGGGAGGAAAAGAGAATAAAAATGACAACATAATAATGGATGTCTTTGTTTTTTATATCTTTCACGTCTTACCAGAATAAAAGATCTTTGACCATTACTAAAAGCCCTGCATTCTCTTAGATTCTTAAATTCAGATACTAATACTGCCTTTATAGAAATAAATAAAAAAGCACTCATGGAAGATGTAAAGTGCATTAGTGTTCATGTTATCTTTGCTGGTATGAATTTAATGGGTATCTTAATAAGGAGATATAAACCAATGTCACTGATTAGGAAATATATCCACTCACATCATTTAGTGGCCGCCAGTAGGGCTCGATGATGATGTCTGAGTGGAATTACTATAAAGCAGATGATGAATTAGCATCAGGAGCAAAGGGACACATAAATGTGCCTCAGAGATGAAGCAATTACATTGTACATCACAAGTTAAAGGTCAACTCAAAAGACAGTGCAGTCAGTCCTAAAGCAGTGGGTAACCAACTTGGCTAAGGCCACTGCTTAGAATTTGCTGAAGCTAAGCTGGTTTGATAGCAGGGCCACAGGCTTCCTTGGTTATAATAACCTGAAAGTAACATTTACGTGTTTTAAGTCTCTTTTAATCTCCTAAATACCACGAAGTGATGTTTATCACATTTTAAGACACAGGCACATTCCACTCGATTTCATTCTCAGGGGTCCTCATCATTATGAAGGCTTATTAAAAGAAGGGAAAGGTTCACAAGCTTATAAGAGGAATTCTAAGTGACATCACAAACTAAATTTAAAAAAAAAATTATTTTTGGCTTGGTGATACAAAGTAATTTCCTTTTTGTGGTTACTTTAGTAGTCATAGCTCAGCTAACTTTGGATAGAGTGACCACCACAGTTAGTTCATCAAAAATGTAAACATTGTTTCTCTCACTTTCTCCTCTAATTAGGTTCGATTTCTTTCTTTCCTTTTTTTTTTTTTTAATGCTTTAAGTGAAAGTTTACAGCTCAAGTTAGTTTCCCATACAAAAATTTGTATACATTTATTTGTGACCCTAGTTGCTCTCCCTATAATGTGACAGCACACTCCTCCTTTCCACCCCGGATTTCCTGTGTCCATTCAACCAGCTCCTGTTCTTCTCATCTCACCTGCGGACAGGAGCTGCCGATTTAGTCTCATGTATCTACTTAAGCTAAGAAGCGACTCTTCACGAGTATCATTTTATGTTTTATAGTCCTGTCTAATCTTTGTCTGAAGAGTTGCCTTCATGAATGGTCTTATTTCTGGGATAACAGAGAGTCCGGGGGCCATGTCTTCCGGGGTTCCTCCAGTCTCGGTCAGACCATTAAGTCTGGTCTTTTTACTAGATTGAGTTGTGTTCCCTGTCAGGGCGGTCATTGGTGGTAGCTGGTCACCATTTAGTTCTTCTGGTCTCAGGCTGGTGGAGTCTCTGGTTTATGTGGCACTTTCTGTCTCTTGGGCTCATATTTTCCTTGTGTCTTTGGTGTTCTTCCTTCTCCTTTCCTCCAGGGGCCTTGGAACCAATTGATGCATCTTAGATGGCTACTCACTAGCTTTTAAGACCCCAGATACCACTCAGTTAGGTTCAATTTCAATGCTTAGTGCAAGGGCTTGACCTACAAGTAGTAAATGCCCAAATGCCTATAAATTCACTTACTACTAGGCATTTGAGGAAAATCTTACATACTTTTAAGCACATTTTAAACAGAAGAGACATCTATCCAAAACTCAGCCTGTTCATTTGTTTAAAGCTTATCTATGTATTACATATCCTTAAAATGGTCACAAATGTTGTTTCCAATTTATCTTTCCATAAAATGGAGGAAAAAAATACCAAAAAATACTCCAGGCAGGTTTATTTCAGTGATTTCTTTAAAATCCCTCCTCCTCCATGGAGGTAATTAATTGCTCCAAGCCTCAGTTTCCTTATTTGTAAAATGAGGATAATAATAACAACCTGAAAGGGTATTGTGAAGATTAGGGATAATAAATGAAAAGTGCTATGCATACAGGTAATCAAAAGCAGGTATCCTTATTTGTAAAGCAAAGACAAACTTCTGAGTGTTCTAGTTCAAAATTCTTTTTCTTCTGGTATTTGACAGGGACTATAAGCATTCGATGAAATAGTGTCACCATGCTTTTTAAAACTGTTGTTAGTCTATAACTTTTTAAATTGTAAGATATAACACACATATAGCAAAATGCATAAAACACATCTATACTATTTATAAAAGATCATTAAAAAGCAAATCCATCACCCATCTGTCAGTTTGCTGCACCGTGGTGGCTTGCATGTTGCTGTGATGCTAGAAGCTACAACACAAGTATTTTAAATACCAGCAGGGTCATTCATAGTGGACAGGTTTCAACAGAGCTTCCAGACTAAGACAGACTAGAGAAAAAGACCTGACAATCTACTTCCGAAAACTAGCCAATGAAAACCTTATGGATAACAACAGAACACTGTCCGACTTGCTTGCTTTGGACACGTCATCAGGAGAAATCAACTGCTGGAGGAAGACTTCATATTTGGTGAAGCAGAGGACCAGTGAGGGTGAGGAGACCCTTGGTAAGATGGATTGGCACAAGAGTCGAAAGGATGGACTCTGACATGCTGGTGATCTTGAGGATGATGCAGGACTGGCAACATTTCATTCTGTTGTACATAAGTCGCCATGATTCGGTGTCAACTCAAGGGTATCTATCTTATCTTATTTAATCTATCTAACTGTTTAACAAATACCTAACTAACCACTCAGTCAAGAAAATGAATGGTGCTGGTGTCCCAGAAGCTCCCCATGAGCCCCTTTCTCATTATAATCCCTTCCCTCTCCCAGAGGAATCATTATCTGTCTTAGTTATCAAGTGCTGCAATAACAGAAATACCACAAGTGGATGACTTTAACAAAGAGAAATTTATTCTCTCACAGTTTAGGAGGCTAGAAGTCTGAATTCAGGATGCCAGATTCAGGGGAAGGCTTTCTCTCTCTGTCAGATCTGAAGCAAGGTCCTTTCATCAGTCTTCCCCTGTTCTAACAGCTTCTCAGCACAGGCTCCCTGGGTCCAAAGGACACATTCCACTCCTGGCTCTTCCTGCTTGGTGGTAATGAGGTCCCTCTCCTCTCTGCTCGATTCTTTTATGTCTCAGAAGTGATGGACACAAAATACAACCTAATTCTGTAGACTGAGTCCTACCTCATTAACATAACTGCCTCTAATCCTGCCTCATTAACATCATAGAGGTTAGGATTTACAACACATAGGATAATCACATCAGATCACAAAATGGTGGACAACCATACAATACTGGGAATTATGGCCTAGCCAAGCTGACACACGTTTTGAGGGGGGCACAATTCAGTCTATAACACTGTCCTTGTTTTTATTCTTCTGTACAGTTTTCATCCCTAAACAACATAGTTTAATCCTGCCTGTTTTTGAACTACACATGAATAGAATATTGTGGAAATTCTGTTTTGCTTCTTTTACTCAACATTATGTTTGTGAAATTCATCCCTATCATTGAATATAGCTATGGTTTCAGAGAAACCATAGAATTCCAATGTCATTGTTGCTGTTAGGTGTCAAAGAGTTGATTTCAACTCATAGTGACCCCATATGACAAAGTAGAACTGCGATAGGGTAGGCTGTAATCTTTATGGTAGCAGATCACAAGGTCTTTCTCCCTTGAAGCTGCTGGGTGGGTTTGAAGCACCAACCTTTTGGTCAGCAGCAAAGTGCTTAACTGTTGTACCACCATGGCTCCTGGAATTCCAATACAATGGGATAATACATGTAATGCCCCCTGAACACTGTCTGATACATGTACACACTCAATAAATGTTGACTTTTTTTTTTTGAAAGAATCCCTGGTGGCGCAATGATTAAGCACTTGGCTGCTAACTGAAAAGTTGGTGGTCTTTCTTCCATGGTGATTTGCTCCCATAAGATTATAGCCTAGGAAAACCCTATGGGGCAGTTCTATTCTACCACATGGCATGCTATGAGTTGAAAATCGACTTGATGGCAAACAACAACAGCTCTTTTTTGGGGAGAACTTACTACATGTCAGGTACTCTACGCAACAAAAAATTTTCTTTTTCATTTAATCCTCACAAAAACCCCATGATAGTAGGCATTACTGCCTCATTTTATAAATAAGGAAATTGAGGCATAGAGAGAAATTTCTTACACAATGCCATGGTTATCAAGGGGCAACATCGAACCAGGAACTGAATCCATGTCTATCTGTGCCTGTGTTCCTAATCATATTATACTGCCCTAAAATCTACTCAGCCAGGGGAATAGCTCTGTATTTTAGAAAGTATGAAAAAATGTTTTAAATTCTTTTTTTTTTTTTAACCATGAACTAATGAATCTCAAAGAGGAGTGTTCACAATTAAGGGAAAAAAAAGTATGCAGCAAAGCCCTAGATAACGCCTTTAAAGCTGAATCTGCCTCTGCTGACAAATCCTAGAATCTGATGTCAGAAGTCATGAACAGACAAAGAGAAGAAACCTGCTATCTAGTCCCAGGTTCACAACTAAGCATTTGTACCATTTGGAGAATGTTAAGCAACCTCACTGGGCCTTAATTTTCATCTGAAAAAATTATCATTATAAAGGACAACACGTGCTCAATAACAAAATCAAAAGTAAAAAGATAATTAGAAAGATTATCCAAAGACCCCCCCACCCAAGACAAAACAAAACAAAACCCACATCCTAGCAGTATTTTCACCCTAGGCAGAGGGTAACAGCTTGTTTGGTGCCTTTAAAATGTTTATTTTAATAACTGTAATCGTTGTTGTTAGGTGCCAGTGAGTCGATTCCGACACACAGCGACCCTATGTACAAGAGAACGAAACATTGCCTAATCCTGCGTCATCCTCACAATTGTTATGCTCAAGCCCTTGCAGCCACTGTGTCAATCCATCTTGTTGAGCGTCTTCCTCTTTTCCACTGACCCATTACTTTACCAAGCATGATGTCCTTCTCCAGGGATTGATCCTTCCTGAGAACATGTCCAAAGTATGTGAGACGTAGTCTCGTCTTCCTTGCTTCCAAGAAGCATTCTGGTCGCACTTCTTCCAAGACAGATTTGTTCATTCTTTTAGCAGTCCATGGTATATTCAATATTATTCTCCAACACCACAATTCAAAGGCATCAATTCTTCTTTAGTCTTCCTTACTCATTGTCCAGCTTTTACAGGCATATGAGGTGACTGAAAACAGCATGGCTTGGGTCAGGTTCACCTTAGTCTTCAAGGTGATATCTTTGCTTTTCAACACTTTAAAGAGGTCTTTTGCAGCAGATTTGCCCAGTGCAATGCATTTTTTGATTTCCTGACTGCTGCTTCCATGAGTGATGACTGTGGATCCAAGTAAAATGAAATCCTTGACAACTTCAACCTTTTCTCCATTTATCATGATGTTGCTTATTGGTTTAGTTGTGAGGATTTTTGTAATCATAGTAGGTATTTAATCCCATACCTTCCTCCTCCACTAATAACAAATGTATTTCTATGCTCTTACCTAATCTTCATAAAAATTTACATGGCTGTGGATGTTCCTAGGTTTACTTAACCTATCCCTAGATAATTATTTTCAGTTATGATAAACATTTTTTGACTGTTTCCATGAAGTTAAAATTATTTCCTTATGACAGAGTTCCTAATAGGAATTACTGAATCAAAGGTGAAAATTTTTATAAATTTTCTTCAGAGAAGGAAGTGTGAAGATCAGTGTATGAACTTATTATTAAAGTCCATATTTTACTGGACTTATATTGATCTATTATTTACCTAGGATGATTCTCCATAAATCTCTGCATATCTTCTATAAACAAACCCACCAACACATAGCATACCGTTTGTAAATTCTATCTTAGAGAATTTGAAAATCTTTTTGATCATGTCGTGGTGAGTCAAAAAACCTGAAGGTCATTAAAAAAAAAAACAGGCAACAAACGAAATGTAAGAGTGGTAAAGTTAAGAAACACAGACTCAAAGAATGTAAGGGTTGATGTGGACCTCAGAGTACATAAAGTTTACTCCTTCATTCTTTAGATGAGAAGACTGAGGCCCAGTGGAAAGAAACTCAAGGTATCAGCAAGTTAGCAGAGATGGACTAGAACCCCCTAATTTCTAATTATGTTCTTTCCATTAAACCATTTCATCTACCTTTTTAGAGTCCATGGATGACAAAATCTCATTCCTTCCATTGTATCTATTCAAGCTGTTTAAATGCAACATGGCTAGTCTAAGTTTATAATATATACATCATTTAAGCTGACAACATATACAAGTGTATACAAAGCTACTGTTCCAAATATAGCACTATGATTTGGGTCTATCCACAGATAACTATGAGTCTAAGTGAGTCTGTCATCTTTGTTTCTCTTTTTTTTAAAAAATAAATCAACAAGATATAATATCAATTAAAGGAATCCCAAAACCTGGACTTTCAAATCTATTGTGCTATCCTCCCCTAAAAGCTGGATTCTGGGTTTTGAACCAGAAGACATAGGCTTAAGTTTTGGGTTTACCACTTAATGGCTCTGGGTGACCTTGAAGAAGTGCACTTCTTCAAAGCTTAGTTTCCCTATTAGCAATAGAGGACAAGAGGAATTCTATACCTCATAGGGCTGTGGAGAATTATAGGGTTAAGTATCCTGTGACGTGTACAATGCTAGGCTATAAACATACTATTATTATTACTCATGTAACTAGAATACTAAGCAATGGAGAAGAGATAAAAGTTTAACATGCAAA